ACATATAGCAATAAATGATCGATCATGATTGACTTGAAACATCAATCCACCGCACGCTAGCGGAGTGTGCTGGCTTGAAAATTAAAAGTATATTAAAACCGAAGTGTGCTGCAGCTCAGATCGAACTGAAAACCGAGACAATGGTGTGCGATATTGTACCGATGCAGCAGCATTGTTACTCTGACAAAAGCGCTTGAGAAGGAGAAAGGGAACGGAGACTGAAAAACAAAACAAAGCGTTTGTGAAGCCGTTGGTGTTGATCGATAACCCATCAGGCTGTTCTGTGACGTCCTGCCGACCCGGGCCGTGTGACACCAGGTTCTCCATCACCGTGCTGCCCTCACAGAGTCACGGTTCGCGTCCCTTCAGCGGCTTTTATCGAACTGTGGAGATTTCCAGACGCTGCTCGGCCCAACAGCTCTCTGAAAAACAAACATTTCAGAGGCCAAAGGAGCGGCCGGCCCTCGTGTCTCATTAAAATCATTAAAAACCTAATTACCCTTCTGTCCTGTACATGCAGTAATAAACAGCGACAGGCCTCCCGTCGCACAAACTAATTAAAACACTTGCAGGTTTGGATGATAAAGAGCAGCGTCAGCGGTTGTGTGAAGCAGCCAGAGGCCTGTTTGACTGACAGGAGGAGCTTCAGAGTCTTTATTCCACCAAAGACGAGCTTGTGAGCCACAAATCTAGATGAATAACCAAAGCCAGGTCTGATGCTTCTATCCTCTGTTCCCGTCTGTGTTCTGACGCTGACGTCGACTCTCTCTGCATCCAAAAGTGAAATAAGTGTTTCAGCCTGATGGACAGCCTCTTCCTGCTCAACCAACGTCCACATTAAGCGAGAAATGGCACAAATCTTCTGCACGGTTTGGTCAGTTCTCTAAAGGAAAACTACGTCAGACTTTTCTCCCAGGGAACACGCCGGTCTGTGTTTTGTCTCCTTTGATTGACTGATAGCTCAGAGGAGTCGTGGTAGCGNTAAACTCTTCATGTTCCAAAACCAATTTGCAGCAAACATCAAGTGTTGTTGTTTAAAATGTTTTTATCAGCATGATTAAAGTCTGTCATCAGAAGTTCAGACCAGAAACTGAGTTTGGCAACACAAACGTCCGTCTAGCTGCTGGATTTACGTCTGCAGGTTCATTCAGAAAGCCTTGGAGTCTGTTTGGAGGCCGTGCAGAAAAATGTCCACTAATTCATTCATTTGCACGCTCATCAATTCACCATTAACGTGGCTGACCTTGTTAACAAATTTGCATCCATTTTTTAGATGCTGTTCAACCGTCGGATGAGCTCTGAACATTTCCGAACACTTTACGTAAAATAGTCTGAACGTCTTTTGTTTTGCAGTAATTTGAGCCAATGAGGAAAAAAGTTGGAGCACCACCAAACTTCAGACAGTTGGTTCTTTGGGAAACACGGATGTCTGCACCACGTTTCCTGAAAGCAGAGGGCTCTTGTGAACCATGAATGTCTAAACTAGACTTCATGGCGATCCGTCCAATAGCTGCTGAGATGTGTCAAAGCGAATCCGATGTGGTGACTCAACCAATTTAAGAACTGACGCTGACACAGAGACTTCCCACCAAAAGTCTCCTCTGCTTTCACGCTTCTCTCTCAACAAAGAAGGCCGTCAAGGCTCAACAGCTCTCGGCCTGACAGCGGATTAAATATCACATCATAGACTAGAAACGTTCTTCTAGGTCGACCTCTGTCTCATTTAACGAGTGGAATCGAATAATTCACTCAGAAATCGAGCTGACGAGTTTTTCATTTCATTTAATGATCAACAAGAAAGAAAGAAATTGTTTCCAGATGACTTCCAGTGCAAATGTCAAGCATTGATTCGGCTGACGTGATGTTATGCAGACGCTCTGAAGCGACGTCTCCACAGTGTTTGCAGAACAGTGCATGATCGGCACCAAGCGGCTCCATTATCTCTGTCAGAAGTTCAAAGTTAGCTTTCTGCAGACACGACTCCACAGAACCCTGAGAAATTATCAAGTCATCGCTGCTGGTCGGCTTATTTTCACAACATTCATTGTTCTGTTTTGAAATGGCTTCAATCTGAATGAGGTTAAAGCTGGAGATGTGTCTGAACCAGAACTAAACACGCAGCGCTGAGCGAACCTTCAGAGCAGCGACAGTAAGAATGTTCTCAGAAATAAAGCCACGGACAGGTTTGAACTAAACATAATACAAAGTGAAGAAATAAACCCACATCACTTCAGTATGTGGTGCCACCGTCCCCGTCCTTCAGTCTGCAGCAGCACAGTTTGTCATTACAGTCGGCAGGCAGGTTGCTCAGCATCCGTCTCTTCCTGTAAACCCAGACTGACTCCGTGATGCTGGGATCAGCGCTCTGCAGAGGCTCAACCATCTGCTGCAGGACTCTCTGCTCCCGAGTCATCCACGCCTCCAGCTGGAGGTCGGAGCTGCTGCAGAACTGTTTTGATGAGACGCCTCCCTGATGATGACGGACGACATCTGAAGTAACGCACACAGTATTCATGACTCTGGTCCTGATGGATGCACGTTGCTCCACGTGGAGGAACACAAGCACAGTTAGCGCACATTAAAAAGCAATAAGCAGTCATTAGCATTAAACATGCTAAGGCTCAGCTGAACATAAATGGCCTTCCAGTGCACTCCGTGTCATTTGTTCCATTTGCTGATGAGCTCTTTCGTTGGCTGCCTTCTTTTTTTGGAACAATTATATTATAGATGGAGGTTTAATCACATCCTGCTGACAGAGAGCAGCTCAAATTAATGTTAATGAAACGGAGAGTCAACATGTTTAAGCAGAAGTCATGTCCCTGCATCCTGGAGCAGTTCGTCTGTACTAATGTCAGCTCACATCAACGGTCCGGAGCTGAAGCTTTCTTCACATCATGTGTTTCTCACTTAACACCGCCCTCACCGTTACCTGTTTGTGACTAATTATGGCAGCCAGAAGCACTTTGGGCTTCTTTTCACGAGGCTTTGATGTCATTCAAAAGGAGTGCTGATGACAGCAAGTCCTGCAGGATCTGCAATTCAAATGAACGTTGCATTAGCAGGTTTTCTATGGGCCATGATTGGCATTCAGCTTTCTAACGTCCCTGCGTGGGACGGACAGAGGACTGAATCCAGACGGTGGAGAGCTGGCAAAGGCCTTGTAGACGTATAACTGTATTTCTATAGCGAGACAGCAGCTCTCTGAACACGTTCTCCCATCGTGGGGCCACGAGTCGCCTCCACCAGGTGAAGTTTAGTCTGATCATGCAAAGGTGCTTCTCAGAGGAAATGTGATTCCAGTGAACAACACCTGGATGTGAGCGTTTGTGGAGGAACTCCTGCTTCATCCAGCTCCCACTAGTCTCAACAGAGAAACTCACGTTCACCTGGATGCTGCCTTACAGTGGATCCTCAGCAAACATCATGTCAGCTGGTCGACTGTGGAGTCATCATGTTTGTAGCTCACACTGGGGATGGATGTTACCTCAACTACCCACCCAGCACATGGACAGAACCAAGACGCAGCCTGAGATTTTAAAGGAATAGTCTGACATTCTGGACACTTGGTTTGTTTTCTGTCAGGCTTAGAGACGTCTGGTTAAAAAACTAAAGATGGTTGTGTGACAGGAGAGTCGGTCATTCGAGGTTTTATTAAAAATTGTCTGGACGTCATCGTTCTTCATCATTTTATCCTGTTGGACAGTTTTTTCTGCTCAGATGTGTAAATTCTTGTATATATTTGTTATTTTGTTTTTTATTCTTATTATTTATTTTATACTATTTTTATTTCTTTCCTTAGTTATTTGACTTTATTTTTATTACACTTTGTTTTCCTGTTTCTATTATCCTCCTCGCTCATTCCTAGCAGCCAAAACCAAATTCCTTGTATGTCGTGGACGTACTTGGCCATCGAAGCTGATTCTGATTCTGATTTGTGTCGAATTTGGTCGTAAACAGAGAGTGAATTCTTGATTTATGGCTAAATATGTGTTTTTGTGACACAGCGTCTGTTTGACGACCAACTTCTAGTCGTTCATGTCGGACAAGCCAGAAACACAAAACATTGCCGGAAATGTAGCATTAAAAAAAGCTGAGAATACATCCAATGATTCTGGTAATTGTTGTTTGAATCAGTATGAGCTGAATATGAACACATTAAAATATGTCTCATCATTGAACCAAACGCTAACTTGTTGTTTGTTGGTTTTTTATTCTGTATCGTCAACAGAAATGTGGTTTTAGGGGAGTTGAAACTGGATTAAACAACAAGGTGTTAATTATTGAGCTTCAGAGGTTTTGGTAGGTGTATTTTATTTTATTATTATTTTATCTCTACAGAGAGAAAACCAGGTGTTTCTGCTTACAGCGAGGTGCTAACTCTCTGCAACAAGCATATCTGTGTGTTTCCAAAATGTCAGACTATTGGTTTAAAGCACTAAATCACTGCTTTTCAGAACGACAGGAACAGAAGGAGTTTTGTAGTTAAATGTCTGTCTCCTCCTCCAGTGAAGGAACAAATGTCAACCACATAAAAAGCACAAAGAAACCAAGTCCACATAGATCCATTCTGAAGAGTTAAATTCAAAGTTTCAGTGTTCAGTCATTTCTATTATGCTCATCATCTGTTTAAACCAAACCCCATCACATCCCAGTAGGATGAGGAGTCCTGTCTGCAGCCCTCAGGCCAAACGTTCCTCTTCCTTCATCACATGTGCGTTGCTCGTGTTGTGTTGTTGGTGTTTGGCAGCGCGGCGTTCATGTTGTTCGCCAACGCCGGCTTTGGCAGTGGAGCAGGTAACGTACTGTACCAAACGCTGTTTGTCTGTTTCCCCACATCAGTTAGTTAATCAGTCGTGTTTCATTAACAACAATTAAAACACGTCTGCCGAGCACAGTGTGTTCCTCCTGAAAACCAGTCAGTAGCTCTGTGAAGGCTTTCTGCACAATGAACCCGGCATTCGTCCTTATGGTAGATTTCAATAACCGCTTTCTGCCTGATTTCAGTTCACTCCATTGTTGTTGTTGCCTTCCTCTGCAGCAACAAACTTGATCTCGGCGTTGGCAGTCCTCGAGGCCATGCTGCTGTCCCTGACCTTGTGCTTGAACAGGAAGGGGAAGGTTTTCCTGAAGGACTTCTGGAAGCTGGCCCCCATGAAGCCGTAGACGATGGGGTTGACCGAGGAGTTGGCGTAGGACATGCAGTTGGCCCACGTCTTGATCTTATACGTGGCGTAGTTGGGACGGTAGTTTGGATAGAAGGATTGGAAAAGGACAAAGATCTGGATGGGACCCCAGCAGATGGCAAAGAGCAGAACGATCACCACCACCATCTTGGAGACTTTGCTCCGGATGCTGATCGTCCTCTCAGACAGGAGGTTTACCTGAGGAGGAAATATACATTTTAGCTTTGCATGACTCCAAGCAGCCAATGTGCCACCTGTGCAGATGTTAGCTGTAAGCTAGCTGGTAGGGGTCAACCAATGGGTTTGTTCAGGGTTTTTTTAACGCTAGATGTCACATTTTCAAGGCTCAATCTAACGGGAACCCAAAAGGATGCATACCGGCCTAAATGAACAAATCTCTGGTGAAATTCATGATATCCATCTTTCTTTTTACAGTTTTAGGGTAACTTGAGGGCAGCGTAAACCAAGACTAAACACAACACCGGTTAGTATGCTGAGCTTCATAGCAACAAGTAGTTTATTTACCCCATCAACAGATACATAAGCGCTGATTTAGAGTTGTGTTTCCTTCCAAATGACAAAGACGTACCTAATAATTAGCTCAGCTTTTGGTTTCCAGAGGAGAATATCTTATTCTGCTGTGTTCACCAACTAGCTGCTCACTGCTTCTGTCTGTGGTTTGCTGCTGCACATGCTTAGTATTGGCCATGTAAAAAAAACAGAAAGAAATCGAGGACTGCAAACCGTCCCACAGTAACTACATCCCAGAATTATTATAATTGCAAAAATCTGTATAAATGTTATTTGCAACTAAAGTCGGAGCTTCGGTGCGACTGAACCGCCAGGCTTCGGGTTTGTGTTCGCTCGATCTTTGTAGTTTCTGGAGAGCTGTACAGACAGCAGGGGTCCTCTGTGGCCATGCTGCTCTGCTATTGGTCCAATAAACTGCCTGTTAAATCTTGCCAGGGAGCTTTGGGACGCGACCACACGACTGCGATGCTATGAAAAGGTGCCACGCTGCAAGAAATCCCTGCCGCTCCTGTGACTGCACAGACTGAGCTTAGAAACACAAAGACGAGCTGAGAGTTGCAAACTAAAGATAAGAAATATAAATAAAAAAGCAAATACAGCCGTGCTGGAGCGGTGTGTCTGCACATCGTATTGTTTTTTTTTTCATGGACAGACAACATGGAAAGCTGTGGGGTTTAGTGTCCTACATAGAATAGAATAGAATAGAATAGAATAGAATAGAAGATCCTTTATTAGACCCACAAGGGGAAATCTGCAACATCACAGCAGCAAAGTGACAAAGAACAACAAGAAAACAACTATAAACTAAAGAGGCGAGGTATATACGCTGTGTATACAATACAAAGAACAGTTCAGGGTAACTGTAGACTCTGGTTGTATATTTCTGTGGTTTTGTCACTGCAGACTTTTAAATGACACTTTGCTCCTCTGTGGAGGTCACAGCTAGAAGCTCCGACTCCCATCCTGCATGTTCTCCGTGTGCAGCGGGTTCTCCGGCTTCCTCCCTCAGTCTGAAAACATGCTGAGGTTAATTGAGGTTAATTCTTAATAGGTGTGAATGTGATTGTGTGTCTCTATGTGCAGCTCTGCGATAAGTCGAATAGACTCCAGCAGCCCGTTGACCCTGCAGAGGATTAGGCGGTGTGTAGATAATGGATGGACGGATGCCTCTTTGTTATTGAACGCTTTACTGCAGCTGCTTTAGAGAAAAGTGCTTTAAAACCCATTTTCAAAGACAGTCGACATACAGAGGTGACCTTTTTGATGTTTAATTGACTTGCACTCGTATCTCAGCGCGGAAACAGACCTGATAGTTGTTGTCCACGGGTTCTACGGTGGGCTGGCCGACCCGCTTCACCATCAGGGTGTAGCAGAAAGAGATGGTGAGCACCGGCAGCAGGTAGGCGGCGATGAACTGGTAGAGGATGAACGCTCTCTCGTGCGTCTTAGACGGGAATCTCTCCATGCAGTACTGCCTGGGGCCGTACCAGTAGCCCTCCTCTATGCGCTGGTACATCAGTATGGGGGTGGACAGGATGAAGGAGCCTGAGCAGGAAAACAAACACGTTAGTCGAAATCACTTGAAATCATTTTAAAAGAATTACTGAATGCATTCAGGGGATGACGAGACGTACCGATCCAAATGCAGACGCTGACAATCATGGCCACCTTGGGGGTTCGGTGGCGCAGAGATTTCAGCGGGTAGACCGTCACGTAGCAGCGATCCCCGCTCATAGCAGTCAGAGTGATGCAGGTGGCCTGTACTGTCACCTAGGAAACGTACACAGGAAGTGTTATGTCCTCTGGATGTGTAGACGTGTGATGGCGTGCATCACGTTTCCAGCCCTTTCAAAAGACATTTTCAATCAAAATAATGACATCTTTGGCGTGAAGGCTCACAGCGAGGTGCAGAAATATCCTCCCTAAGCCACCTGGATTTAGAGAAGGAGAAGAAAACCCAAGTCTCTCATGAAATAAAAGAATAAACCCAAGGAATAGAAATGTAGACACACAATCAAATGAAGCTTATATCCCGTTGGGCTCCAGAGCTCGTAGCCTGATGCTGGATCTGCCCCATGAACATTATATCCTCCACATGAAAGAAGAAACACTCCTCACTTCAGAAAAAGGTCGACTGAAGAAAAAGAACACAGAAAATAACTAATAGACTGACAAAAGGGGAAAAGAAAACCAATCAATCCCAGTAAATACACACCATACGCAGAAGAGACAGCGTGTATGTAAATAAAGGCTCTGAGACAGTCGTCCTGATTTGACTTTGAGGAGGCTTCATTAGTCATTAATCAATAAATTAAGTGCCAAAGTGGCCTCGAACAATTAAAAGAACACATCTGTGCACCTGAATGAGAGAACAGGACGATCTGCATGAACCTGGAAAACAAACGATGCTCAAAACAAACGCTGGAGATTCAGGTTGTAGGTGAAGCAATCGGTGGAGTCGTGCTTTCTAGTGATGGAGCCCAAACTCTGTGGGAGCTTCTAAGTCAGGGATCTCCAGCTCTGGTCTTCGTGAGCTCCTGTCCTGCAGGTTTTAGACGTTTCTCCAACACACCTGACTCACATTCATGGATCATCAACAGACTTGTGTAGAACTTGACAACCAGCTGCTGGAGATCCATTAATGTGAATCAGGTGTGCTGTGAAACATCTAAAACCTGCAGGACAGGAGCTCACCAGGACCAGAGCTGGAGATCCCTGGACTAATGATGATCTTGTGCTCAACACACCTCAGGAACTTTTGCTGACGCCGGGCTCCAGGCTAATCTGTGAGTAGCTGCTGTATTGTTTGTGTTCCACATGACGGGCGATGTGATGGTCCAGCTAGCAGACCGATGGGTTCCTGTTGTCCACATTAGTCTGACAGCATGAACTGAGCTTTAGGTATTGAAGATATTTGGTTATGTTTAGGGAAAAGATCATTCAGATATACCCTCTCACATCTGCTACAAGCTTCTCCTCCATCGTCTTGGTCCCTCCTTATCTAAAACAAACAGCGACGACACCCTCTCCTGTCTGGAAACGTCTCATTCATCTAATCATCTGACGGGTTGTCGATTCCAACATCGTCCACTCTTACACCCTCCAACAACGGAGCTCCACCACCTCGTCCTCATGAGGTCGCTCTCAGGAAAACCGTCTGTAAACGCTTCACGGCTGAGACGAACACAGGAGGTAAGAATGATGCAGCTTTCTTCCAGAGGAGGCAACCAGACGGTTTCATATCATGTTTGCTGAAGGAACACGAAGAGAACATGCAGGACAAGCTGCTCGGACTTTTTGGGTCGGCTGTATATACGATTGTTTTTTTTTAGACAATATCAGATTTCAGTCACAGATTTAATCCACACAGTAACAACAACGGAGACAGCGTGCCGTACAGAGGAGAACATGTCAGGAAAATGTCCTGAGGAAATTATAAAGATGTTTTAAATCACGGCTTCATCGTGCCAGAGGTGTGAATCGATGCCGGATCGGAGGCAGGAATGGTGGGAATGTGACTTTTATTCCAGACTCCAGGATGTCGGGGGGCGACTTTGAACCCGTCTGTCATCTCCATCAGATTCTAGCGACGGAAAGATCACACGAATTCGATTCGACTGTGTGGCTGAGATTGCAGAAACAAAATCAGATCTGATTTAGGACGACATACGGAATCAGGATCGAAGAGATCAAACTCCATCTGAGTTGTGCTGTTCACAGGTTATGTTTAGGTTACACATCGGCAAAATAATGCTGATGTCGCAGTCTGAACTTCTTGGTTTTGTGTTGCTTCACCCCTTTCTAAGTTCGTTTTTCGCTCCAAATGAGCTTTGCTTTAATGCTGAAGAACATGCGGGATGCTAAAGCGAGAGGAGCAGAGCGAGGGAGGAGACGCATGGGAGAGGAGGAAGAAGAGAGGTGGCTGCCTTCGCGATAAGTATTTCTCATTAGCATGTGAAAAAATCATCCATTTTAATTCATATTAGAGTTCAATGATGCTTGATTCAATTAAACTGGGGCTCGACGGCAGACTGCCAATCAAAGGCCAGACGCAGAATTCGTGTCGCAGCGGAAATGTTTGTGCGAATGTGGAGAGTTTAAGACTTTGAGAAAGAAACTTTCTCTTCAAAAACACAAAACTCTGAAGATGCAACACATATCACATCCTCTAAAGACGTGTCAGTGGGAGACATCGCTTAGAATACATCACGGCGGGATGAAAACCACCGTTAGTCAAAACTCACATTCATCGTGTTCTGCAGCAGACAAATGATGCTTTTTTTTCTTTCACACGCATCTGTTGTCTGATTCTCAGCAAAGCGGGACGACACAAAGCCCGCCTGACACCCTCGATACTGTGTTCAGTCCAAACACGTCGCCTCTGATCGCGTTATCTGTCGGTAAACTCATTCATGCTGCTTTGAAATATGCACAGCAGGGTGACAGGATGAGGGGTCAAAAGTTCCCTCCACGCTCTCGTCCAAATGGGATCTAATTTTGTCCCCTTTTTGTCCGTGGATCTGCCTCTTTCTCCACCTCCAGCAGCCATTACCCTCCAGAGGTTTGGAGCGGCGCATCAGGGTTTCAAAGGATACGATGAGAGAGACCGAAAGGGTTCACCGTGAGTTCAGCGCTGAGGCCACCGAGGGAACCATCATCTGACGGCTTTTAAGACATCGAGAACACACAACCTTCAGTGATTTCTAATCAGAGGAATGGGTTCAGACTCTGCAAAGAGAATGCATTTAGATCGTAATCAGTAATCTGCTTCTTCTGGTTTCTTTTAGCTGAATTTACACAGAGGTTTACAACAAGGGAGTTTCATCTTTTATAGTCTAAGGCGTTGAAAAGAGAGCGCTGTCGGTCCACAGAGACCCACTGGCCTCCGAGATCCACTGAAAACATCAGGCTTCATCAGGATACGATGGTAATAATCACTATCTGAAAATAAAATATTTACATACACAGTGTTTAACACATGTATTAGACCACGTGTCTGACTTGTTGAGCGCTGTATGATATATTTATAACCTGAGCAGCTCACTGGGCTTCTTTAAGAAGTCAGACATTAATCCAGCATCACATTCAGTTCAGTAAATAACTATAATTTGACATCTTAATCAAGAAATAATAATGTTCTTTACTGTGTTTTCTGTTGTTTTTTTATGCTTACACATTTGTGGCATCCTCTATAGAACACATTTATAATTTAGCAGTTTTTCTATGTGATCATATATAAGCTCTAAAAACTCACTGGAATAATCCTGAGATGTTCTATCACTTCCTTTTTTCAGTCCAATGTGCTGCTGGTGATGGCAGTCACTTTGAAAACAGGCAAGGTCACCCTCCACGGGTGATTTTAAAGCCCCAGTCGTCCTCGTTAATGACGGGACTTAACGAGGGGGAGATACGAGCACCAACGCCGTGAGCACAGCAGAAGGCTCGGGTGGTGGATGGTGGATGGTGTCTCACCCACTGAGCCCAGGATGGTTCGCTTTAGCCTCACAGATGTGGAGTTTAATGGGTTAAAAACAACCCAAGCTGCAGGCCTTCTTATCAGATTAGCAAAGAATACAGAAAGATATCGAATAATAGAACAGAAAAAATAGAATAGTCATTAATAAGTAATGTGTCTTCATCATTCTTCATTGTTATTAAATTATATGTCGCTTTTTTTTAATTTAAAAAAAAGTCTAATTCATTGAGGCATTAAAATCTCTTTTGCTTGATTAATTATGATGGTTGGAGAGGAAGCGTCTCCGTGTAGAATAACTCTTTAAAAGTCACCACAGTCATGACTTCTCAGGATCCAGACATAAGAAACACAAATACCCCTTTTCCACCGAGCTGGTTCCAGTGCTGGTTCAGA